TATATATATATTTGTATGTATGTATGTATGTATGTGGGTAATATCACCTAGAATGAAAAACCAAAGGAGCATTTCAGTGTTTTGTCAGAACTGTTTCTCAATGTACTAACATTTCAAAATGACTTATTTCTTTAATTAAAGCAGAGCTTTCTTACTCCTTGGAATAAGGAACCAATTCACTATGGGGAAAAATTCAGACTGCTGACTGCACAGGAATTTGCCATTCACTTCAAATAGGGTTGGAATTTTACCATGGTTTGTTTTTAAGTGCATATTATCATAGGAAAATATTTAAAGTTTTAGAATGAACAAATACTAAGTTAATTAGTATAAGCAAAAGTAATTCAAGAAGATTACAGAAATACAAATTTGTACTGCTGTAAAATCTTTTATGAGACCATGTACAGAAACATTAAGCAGTTAACCTGAAATTAGTATTTACTCTGATTTAGTCAATTGCTTCAAACTTTGACTTTAAATATTTATGCAATAAAATGCCTAGACTTAAATTAAGCCTTCCAATTCACAACTTCAAATGGAAGTCTCCATATTTTGCTATCCTATAAACCATTCCGCTAATAAAAATTGTATAGTCTACTTTTAATCTTCAGAAGTACAGTCAAAGTGTAGTATTGTTGGGATTAAATTATGGGACAAATTTGCTAAATATATTTGCAAAACATGATCACTACTTCTAGAAGTACACTGCAATCTTCCAGAGTTCTACAATAACTTATTTCAGCTAAATGAGGATCTAATGTCAGTCATATACAACTAGTGATACAGCCTCACAGATGAAAAATGCTGCTTTTTCCCAAAACTTGGTTAGGCTTCAGTAAATATTCTATCTGTACCAAGTCAAAATATGAATAATCGTTGAGATACAGCTTCAACAAGTATCCCCCTCTAAAAAAGGGGCAAGTTATTCTTTTCTAAGATTTTGTATTCAGAGGCTATTGACTTCTTAAAGTACCTCTTTAAAGACTACATATGGGAACACAACTTAAACTGCTTCTCTTACATTTACAATACGAGAAAAAGCCCTAGTTTCTTTAAGACAACTTACCAGTAATGGTATTATAATGGTATGAGGCATGAGTAAATGCCTGAAGGAGATAAGCCTTGTTCTTAAAACTGTAGTTTATTTTCTTCTCAAAGTTTTCAAAACCAGAAATAAGGTGATTTAGGGTTTTTTCAGCATCTGGGTGATCAAACATACACCTCGGTGGAATCTTCAAACAGCCATACTCCAGGTCTTTATACAGAGAAGGCTCTGAATTAGCTACAGAAGCTACAGAGTTTGGTGAAAGATTTTTCTGCTCACTGTTAAAATTCTCTCTGGTAGCACACAAAGTGCCTTCCCAATCAGTCTTTTTAATTACAGGGAGCACCTTCAGCCCCAATGAACACAGGAAAAGCTGAGCAGCTCTTTCACCGCAGCTGGTCAGATAGCAGCCCAACAGGGCTTCCACACAGTCTGCAATGCTTTTGTCAGCAATACACTGCTCTGTATGCAAGTCATATGAGATAGACTGTTTTCCTGCATCAACACCACAGTTTTCTTCTGATGGATTCCAGAAGCCCACTACAAAATCATCCTCTTCAACGGCCTTGCTAGGATCCAGATAGCACATAGCATCCCAAGAGCTATAGTCAAAATCATCAAAATCTGATGAAAACTGAACATTACCCAGGGATGACTTTTTGGGTGCTTTCCATTCATAGTTTGAATCAGTGGTTGAAAAGTGTGAGAGAGAAATTTTCTTCACAAAAGCCCCTGATCCCATTAACATATTATCAATGAATTTGATATGCTCCTGATCATACTCCAGAAAATCATCTTCAAAGTCTGTTTCTTCCTTGGGTAACCTCCACATTAGGTCTTCATCCTCTTCATCATCATCATAATCATCAAGTTTACCATTAGCCAACAAGTTCTCCTTTGTCTATGAAAGAACACAAAAAATATGGTACTGAAGAGGGAAACGAGAAACTTTTATTCCACAACGGTCAGAAGAGTAAGATTTGAGTAGTGTCTGCTAATAATTAAGACTGATTTTTAACTTAATGTTCCTAATTACGTTGTCTGATCAGATACAACCTCAATTAACACTAGCATTCTAAGACTAGAGCAATTGTCTTGGAATATAAAACCTTTATTACTAACGTATAGTAGCGTATGTTCTACATATAACACATGCTGCATTTCATAGGAACTCGTGCTTATACTTGAATGTGATGTACATACAATTAATTTGAAACCCACTAAACATTATATATACTTGCACGACAAAGTAAACAAAAGAAAGAATTCTAAATTAAATTTAGAGAGGTACAAGAAACAGTTTTGATTGCATTCTTCTCTCTAGCTGCTAAGTAAGGCTACTACAAATGTTTAACCAATGTAATTTTGAAGATTCTTTCTACATCCTTCTATGGCAAATACTAAGGGGCTTGCAGGGTTTACTATAGTCACAATCACGATAACCTCAGTTTTGGGACACATACAGAAAACGCATTCAATGAAACAACTGCAAGAACTTCTTTACCCTAGTCCTTCAATAAACATCACCTGAAGCAGCAAAATACATTTATCTATGCTCTCAAACACAATTAGATGCAAATTAATTCAGTCTACTTGGCAAACTAGTAGAAAGTAAGTTTAGTGAATCGGTCTAGGTGATTTTTATACTACAGATCAAAAATGAGAGTCTAATCCCAGTTAGCTGGCAAAAATCTAATGCTTAGTGGGTGGCAATCTTGACCACATGTGTTGGGGATTCAGTAAATGATCTTGCTGCTTATTAGATATTGGCCAATTTTTGGTTGTGTAAGAATTATTAAGTTGTACTGTGGTTCTTAATTTTAACAATTATAAAATCTCTCCAGTTTATCATACATGTAATATCACCAGGATTTCAATACAGCAGGTCTAAAAATGGAAAAGCAGAAAAAATGGCACACTTCTGTAACATAGGTTTTTGTTGTTTGTTTGTTTTTAAACTGAGTATTAACGTATACATTAAATCATGAAGGATGATAATAACTCAATGCAAAGGCAACTAGTATTAATCCTATCCTTTAAACAAGTACATATTTGTTTAAAGTTTTGGGTTTTTTCAGGCTATACTTATAGCCTTAACTAATTAAAAGAAAAGTTAAAGTTGTCACCAATTTTCTAATACTTACATACATACCCACAACAGTAAAACTAGTGATGTCTCATGTTTTTTCCCTGCTCATATTGAGCAAATTGGTATGGATTGATGTAAATTATAAATTGAACACAGATATGCCCAAGCTATACAATGCTGTACAATTTGCCATGGCCCCAATCCAGGAAAGCACTTAAACATATTAGCTGAATGCACAAGTAGTCTTCCTAACATCAAAAGGACTATTCACAGGCTCAACCCAGCATCACTGATGTCAGTGGGAATTCTGCCACTGAATTTGATAGGAGCAAGATCAGATTCAAAGTGCTTTTCTGGATTGGGTCCTGAAAGCCAACACCATTTTGAATCAAGTGAAACAGCCTATATCTGCCCTCAATCTATGTATGTCATATTGTAGGTCTCAGTCATTTAATCTTGCAAATCTGTGAACCAGATGCTACCACTGGGGACCTCTCCCTTTGGGCCAAATGCACAACTCTCCAGAGGTGTGGATGGGTGGCAGCTGTGAAGTGCACTAGGCAGCACTTGAAAGCATCTAAGGATCAAACAGATCACGATATTCCTCATCAGGATGGAGCAGGCTTAGTCAGGTTTAGTAATGAGAGGAGAGGAAAAAAAAGTGGCTACAGAAATTCATAGTTTAGACATTTTGCCAAAAGAATTTCTGCTGCTGTAATTACCCATCTCACATATACACAGCAGGGATTTCTGTAACTTTAATTGATCAGAAAGAGATAGCAAAATTTGATTTGAAATAGTTATTTTGGATACTAGCAGCAGTATAATGCTCAAAATAAGACTAATTTAACCAGTCCCAACTAGAGCTAGTGCTGATTTTTAGTTGTTACACACCACCTGTAATATCTGTTACTGAAATAAAAATACACTCTCTGAATAAGACACGTCCATAAGGACGATTCAAAACAGATTTCAGTGTCTATTTTCACAAAGATTTAACAAATGATAAATTTCTTTTTTACTACAATTTCATTCACAAGTTTCTTAAAATAAAATTAATTTTGATTAGCAGCACAGCTACATGAACTACTCTAACATTGTCTGCACATCGCTTCTTGCATAAAAAAAAAAAATTCTAATTCTGATGAGAATTAACAGTAGGTAAAGGAGCCAGGAAGCAATTCTGGTAGTTGATTTTTTTCATCATTAGACAGCATTTCAAACAATGAGCCCCAGATGAAAGAACCTTTTTGTAAAGAATACCTGACTGATTTTGAATAAGTTATGGCCACTTACAAGCTGAAGATAAATACATGTAAGTGCTTTTTTTTCCTGCTTTTTGGAAATCAGCTATTTGATCAAATGAACAAAGGAAGATCTTTCCCCTTAATAAAGCCTGATAGCACAAAAAAAAAAATCAACTAGGATGTTTTAGTAATAATTTGTCATAATGATATGAGATTTCTAGCCCCACTCATAGACTATCAGCCCATGGAAGGAGAATGAAATTTACATCCAAAAAAGCAAAATATCAACTTGGCACAAAAAAACACTTCTTAATTGCATCACTGTCTGCATTTCGGTCTGAAATTGTGTGCTTTATTCACAAATAAATAGTGACTAGCAAAGAGGAAGAGGCCACTGAAAAGTTATGGAGAACTAAAAGCTTTTTAAAAGCAATGATTAGCTCCTGTCCCAAATGTGCTATTTTATTTTTAGAAAGGTATAGCAGTAAGTCTCTTTGAAATGAAGTCTTGGCACAATACAGAACCACAATAATCAGGTGGTTTTATTCTGCAATAAACATTTATTTGCACAGTACATCTACCTAACAGTCCTCTCATGTGCCCTCTGGTGGTTCTACAATCCAAGTGTGGTCTTGAGAATTGGGAAAAAGAAAAAAATTCCTCCACGCCCTTCCCCCGACCTCCAAACCGGTCTCAAACACTTAAAGATTACTTTACCGACTGCTGTGATCAGTGATATTTCTTACACATGCACTTCTACTCTCGACATACAATGAGTTTAGTCGGAAAATAATTTTAATCATTCCTCATTAAGATTTGCCATTCTGAAGCTTTTGGTGACAGACAGTGAGGGTGTCTAAGCCAGCATTGTATTTTGGATGAGAAGTAGCTCTCAGTAATACCCATGGTGTAGCTAACAGCTACCAATATTGAACATTTTATCAAGCCAGTTTTAATCTTCATTCTGCCTCAGCACTATGAAATACAGGAACTCCTTTTCATATATTCTATAAAGGTGAACACATTATTTATTAAAAAGCAGTCTTCTGCCTATACATATTACAGCAAAACCAGTACAGATAGTCCCATTTAAAATTTCCAAGAGAAATTTCAGAAAAACTCCTGATAGCATGCTAACTACAAGCAAAAAAGTTTTTCTTCTCTGCTTTTTCATTAATATATACACTCATTATTGGACAAAGTTCAGTAAATTTCCTTACATCAGGTTCTATTCTGGATCAGTTTTCCTCTTATTTTCCATAAGTTATAGTGAAGTTTTAGAAAGGAAATGAAGATACAGATTTACTTTTTTTTGCTGAAAACATACCAAAATATCTGGGAAGTGGGAGGAGGTAGGGGTGAGAGAATACACACACACCAATAATTATTCCTCAACATAGTTAAATGAAGTCTTACCATTTCATCTTTCTCCCACTTATCAGTGTTGCTCTTGTCCTGGTTTACTATGTAACCAGGAGGAAGCCAATTGACTGGGGGATCAAAAATCGATACCACCATACGACTAGGCAGTCCTTTCTTTTTTCCAAGGCGATACAAGTTACAGTTGCTGACCTTCAAGAAAAACATTCTGATAAACCTCTGGACATACATTTATAGAAAAATAGGTTAAAATGCAAAAGGAGCGAAACAATTTTGCATGTTAAGCCAGATCTTGTACCATTAATGCATTTTCTCTAGTTCTCAAAAGGGAGTTCAGCTTTCTTAATATAGTACAACCAATTCACAGCAAGGTACAGATTTAAAAAATAAGCACATTAGGTGTGACAATTTCAGTTAAAGAAATCTGATAGATTAAATTCTCTTTGCAAAACAAAATTATTGCTACTTTTAAAATAACAGTAAATATAACCTGTACAAGTGTCACTAATTACCAGTATTAATAATCAACATTCAGACTAGATTTGGAATGAAAAATGATTGCTATTATGGGTAAATTGACCTAAACCTTGGCAGTAGAAAGCGTTAAAACAGTTCCGTATAACAAATCTAAGTCATAATCCAGATGTTGTTTTGATAGCCTCTAAAATTCTTTTAAATATTTTAAAGGGAAGGGAAAAGAGCACGCTCACATACACAAACATACTTCCTTTTCAACTATCAACTTCTGATCTTCGTTTCTCATTTTAAACACACTCTCCATGTTTCAAGTCTTGAAATTTTAACTTGAATATTCAATCACTTCCTTTATTTGAACTGTGCAATTTATTTAGCCCTCCTTATTTTCCAAGATTAAGCTACTCAATCATTTAATTCTCAGAGTGATGCATTTTATTAAAGGTAGACAGTCAAATTCTTAGCATTTAATTCAAGTTATCACATTACGTGGTGAAAAAACCCCAAACAAAACAAACTTTCACATGACTGATTACTCCAGAATTTAACAACAGCAACCGAACTGAAGACTCTGCTCACTACTGTTTACATTTACTTTAAAGTACTTTTAAAAGTTTTGATGAAACAGTTCTGTAAGATTTTTTGTTGTTGCATTTTTAGTGTTCTTGTAAGATGATGCTCAAAGTTTTCAAGAAAAGTAACTTACTGAGGAAACAAAGGAAAGGTCAAATAAAGCTACAACCTAAGGCTCTGTGCTGCTAACTCTCACGCCTTCATTCAAGCACTCCTGTTAAAGAGTTTCTACTCAATACAGCTCTAGTGTTCAGTCCACCAAATGTCCTCACTAACCCAGAACTTTTAGTTCTGCTCAGTCCTGTCTTTTCTTAAGCTGGTAATCAGCTGGTTTAGATTTCAAAATGAACTGTAGAAAACAGTTTCAATCAATCACAGTTATGGCAACATTAATCCTATAGTCCTGTATTTCTATTCCTAATATGCATGCTACCCAATGTATAATCAGTAAAGCTGTGGAACTAAATCAACCTCTTGCCATTCAATCTTCTAGTGAAATTTTCATATATATGGCTTGTTACAGCATGCCTTTTACATAATATCATTGGATTGTTGCTACTTACTTTTTTGCTTCTCATATATGACAGCCGTCCCTCATGAGCATCAGGGTAAGTGCAAAACAAGTATGTAGTGATGGCATGCTTTAAAAATGAATCACCAAGCATTTCTAGCCGCTCCAGATTAAATCCATCACTAGCATTTGAAAGAGTCAAAGCTTGAAGAATGAGACCAGGATTAGGACCAAGAGTTTTTGAGGAGTACCCACTGGAAGGGTTCTTTTCAGAATCTGCTCTGTCTTTTGAAAGAGTAATAGCTTTTGAAGTACTGGTGGTCACTGCCATTTTGGGGCATCCATCTGAGGTAGATCTGTTAGCATTTCCATCAAGGTATTTATTACTCAGTAGAGTACATTCATTGCTGGACTTGAGCTGGTTCTCACTGCTGTATAAATTCTGAATGGGATATGAGGTAGTTGGTTGTACAGGTATTTCCTGCCTGCAGTAATTCAGCTGATTTCCTTGGCAAAAGTCTCTGTTAACTAAATCACAATTGCCATTGGCAAGATTTTTATTATAAGAAACACCATTAATTGCTGCAAGTTCTGCCGAGACATCAATTTGGAGTTTACTGGGTGACTCATTGAGCAATGTTCTGTAACTCACAGACATTTGGTCATGGTTTTCTGCAGAAGAGGTTCTATTAGCACCTTGATGTGCAGCATTTTCAGGGACTACAATTGTGCTGTGCTTACAGTAATTTTCGTTCTCTACTAAAGAGGAGCTAGGAATAGAGATGAAGGATTTGCTGTCAATAGACTTTTTCCATCCGAAGTCCAAGTTAGGATATCTGTAAAGATACATGCCGATTTTGTTAACGAAACAAGACAAGACGACTCTATATACACATACATGTTTTTTTTAAAAAAAGCCACGTTCTTCCAAAAAGAACAGTGACTGCAGCATCTAACTTCACCACTCACAATCAAGTCTTTTTAAACTATGTTTCACTGAAAACTGACATGAGTTAAACAAAGGGTATCAGTTTTAAATTCATGTAGTAATGGTTAGGTTTTCACCTTGTTTTCCAATGAAGTCAGATATCATATTGAAAAATACATATTGAAAAAATACATGCCTGAAATCTGCAGGAAGTGATTTAACCCCTACACCAGCATCAGTGGCTGGTTGAGCTCTTTGTTCCTCTGCTGTCAAAAGGCAGTGCAGGCGATAAAGTATGCTGGGGAGGCAAACTGCTTTTCTCCACAATGATGCTGGAATAGGATGTATAGCACAGAGCTCTGGAACCAGTATCTGGGGAGAGGAAGGGTGAAGAAAAGAATTTTACCTGTAAAGTTGGTCGTCATATGACTGTTAAGAGAGAGGCAACTTGAATTAGATTCTTCTACGTTACCTGCTTATTCTGCAAACTTTCCCACTTTGCTTTCCTCTTCTCAGCACTGCTTAGTGGAAGCGCTTTCCCCTTCTGATTCAAATGGCGAGGAGTCAAAAGATTAAGTCTAAAAGCCATGTGAAAATACTTTAATGTAAGTACATGATTAATGAATAGAACTTAGTAGCCTAAACTTTCTAAAGTGATGACTTATTCTTAGTATTCAACCTTAATGCATTGTGAAATGACAGCACAGTTACCTCTGCAAAAAATGGACTCAAGTTACAGTTGTTATAACGCAAGTACTCCTCAAGAAAAAAAAAAAAATCAGTAATTGTTCTGGAAAACACAAGCCCTCAGCTTTATCCCATAATTAAAAAAAAAAAAAAGAAAAGAAAAAAAAAAAGGCACTTTATTGTCAAACTATAAACATCAGACACGAATATGACTGTTGTTACCTCGAAGATGTGTGGTCCACATCCAGCAGTGGCTGGTTGAGATTGGTCAGGTCAAGATTATACTTTGTTTTATAATATTCAGCAAAAGTTTCATATTCAGGGGAGGGGAATTTACTGAGTGGAGTAAGATCAGTGTATACATCAGCTACATAGAATCGATGAGGCTGATCAAAATTTCGATATCTAAAAAAAAAAAAATACATATTTTGGCATACGTTATAGCACAAGCTTTACTCTAAGGCTAAGTTCTTCATGTTCTAATGTGGTCAGGTGATAAACCGTTAAATAGCTCACTTGAGGTTTTTGGTTGGTGGGTGTTTTTGTTGTAGAAACCATTTGCTTAGCTAACTCAAATAACTAAATGAGAAACGTGCTATAAGATAAGGAAGCCAATCTATAATCTGCAAAATTCTCTCTATAGAAACATTTAAATTAAATGCAGGATTTATATGTCTTCAATATGTAATACAAAATCAAGCTCTGGACAACAACCTCCAAGAGTAGTGTTGCAAATGATAATTTCTTAATTCCAAACACCCAACAATTAAACTTAATAATTTGGCTTTTTAATGTCTAGTCTCCTATGTGCTACAATCAGTAGAAATGGAGCTCTACCGCATACAAAGATTGTACTACCTTACATCTAAACTGGCATTTTAATCAAGTCATCCTCGAAGATAAAGTTAAAATACAAACCTCCAAATACCTAGTAAAGTAAATTCACAAGCCTTTCAAGGACAATGCAGTTCTTGTAATACAGGCAGAATGTTAGAAATATAAAGCCAGAATGCTGCAACACCTTTATTGTGATACTACTGTGATCATTGGGTACTATGGTGATAAACACGCGCAGGAAAATAATAATACTAAAAAACCCCATGAAATCAACATTCAGTATTTAGATTTGCATATTAGCTTATTTCATACTTTGATCTGCTGCATTTATCATTTTAAGCTTCTATTCTATCTAAATAGACATAGCTAAATAAAATTACCACACTATTAATGAGTCTTTTTAGCTTTCTTCCAAAGAGAAAAATCAAGAAAACCATATTCCGAGGCTGTCTGAACTTCTTCACTGAAGAACATGCTGGTTAAAGGAGCTTTCAGGAAATCCTTTTTTCTTATCTTATTCACCAACCATGCCTATTCTGAAGAATTCCATCAGGACTGTACCGATACACAGTCATTGTATTATGCTTCCCCTTGAGGAGCTTACAACCAGGCAGGATAGAGAAGGACAAGCACATATTTCCAGTATTTTATGTTGACTGAAAACAAAAGTACTTGAAATTCTGGGATTTCTTAATGTATGAAACAAGGTCAAAAATTTTTGGCTTCTCCCAAGCCTGAACTTTATCAGATGGCAACTAATGATTCTAATAAAAGAGATATACTCGGCCACCTATCCCAGTCCCACCCCCAATCAAAAAGGAGGGAAGGAGGAAGAATAATACTGGTTTAGGGACTGTGGCCAGATCTTCACACAGGTGAAATACCATACCTTTATTGAAGTCCAGCAACTGTGCTAACTCACACCACCTATGAGCTACTTCTATGGTGTTAACTCTGATCACAATGAAGTAATGCTCATACACAGTGATGGTCCGTCACCACTTTTTTACACTAGCATTTTTACCACAGTAGTCATCAGCACAGGTAGGAAGACATTTAAAGAAAAAAAAAAGTCTAACACAGGTGAGGCCAAAACAAAGTACTAATATTTATCTTCCATATATATTCTGCAACTACCTTTGTTTACAATATACCAGGTACAAGCACAAGCCAGTCAGTCCCTTTTTTTTTCTTCACATCATGCCAAACATGACATAGGGAATAATTAAGTCTCCACAAAACCCACTAATTCTGGAGAACCATATCCAGTACATAAAATGATGTAAATTTCTCCTCTAAATACGACTCAATAAAAAGATTCTTTTAAGTGGTCTTTTTCACTTGTTAATTTTTCCATCTACCAACAGCATACCTTCCTTTAGCAGGCCTTTGGTGTGAATAAGCAGTAACCAGAGAACAGGACTCCCACTCAATCGTCCAAATTAAAATTGGTTTCAGTAGGCCAATGATGAAGTCACAATGTTTTATCAGAATACTACATAAGTGGTGAACTCTACTATTCCTAATAAAAAGGTAATGAGTCTTGGGAGGCCTAAATACTTAAATCCTACTATATAAGATTAACTATTGACTAAAAAAAAAAAATCTTTAAATTATTTGAGACACCACCAGATACCTTCAGATTAATAGCATACATTTCTTACAAGCAATTCTGTTGCAGATACTAACATCCCTTTATTCAAGTGTTTGTGTAAATACAATAGGTACATACCTAAAGTATGTATACAGTACTCACCGTGGAATGATAACTGCATCCTGGTAATCTTCTAACTTGAAAATAAAAGGCATTTCTTTTGTATATTGTGTACTGGGAATGCCTGTACGTGCCTCAGATTTCTCAATGTCTTCCATAAACTTAAAGTCAATGTCCAAAGTGCTGGAGTCATCAACTTAAAGGAAAATGCATAACTCAGTCATTCAGGGGAGAGTTTTCCAGACTGAACTTTTCTGGGAAGTTGTGAATTACAAATTTTTTTTCTTATTCTAGACACATATTTGATTATTTCAAAAAAATTTCAAAGGAGACATATATACGATTTTAGACCCTTATGGAGTCAGCTGAAACCTACTATAAATCAATTCACATCACCAAGTTAACTAATTTGGAATTGTGAAGAAGTAATAAAAACATAACAGACAAATTTTCATACTACCATATATGGTATTATTTCTACAGCTAACACCTGAAATTTAACATAAACATTAACAGACATGTTGCTAAAGGAATTAAAAGTGAGTATTTAAAAAACGAGAGCTCTGTTCTTACCAACATTAAGAGGTAGAACACAATAGGCTGAATCAGCTTCTGTGGGTTTGAACTCTAGTGCAGGTTTCTCAAGACGAAGAATATGTGAAAAAATGTACTGGTGGAGTCGTGTTATCAGCTCAAGCATTTGCAGAGACAGCGTAAACCCAGATTTCTTAAGCTCAATAGATATTGTAACCTCTCCAGAGCGAGTATACACAGGAAAGTGAGGAATCTAAATAAGAAAAAAACAAAAGAAATCAAGAGAGAACATCCAGAGTAGGATTCCTCTACAGAGTACCAGTTATTTAGTTCAGATGCTGAGGCAGTGCTTGCCTGACCCCACAGCAAACTGGATCAGAATTTTGACCTTTGATAACCTTCAATTATATACGAGATTTTGAAGGCTTAAAGAATGACTGATTTTTTTTTTAGTAGTTCTCCTTGTCTTTTACAGCTCTTTTCTTCATAAAAGATCAAGTAAAAATGGAAGTCTTCCATTATAAAGGAAGAAATGTGAAAAAAGCAATATTCCTCAGCTGAGTCTCATCCACAGAAAATGCCCTTCTATTAAAAATTTTCCTAAGCAAGAGGTGCCAATTTCAACTAACATGGCTTACTTTTTCTGCTGCTGCAGACTAGGAACGCTGAGAGGACTTGTTACCATAGCTTTCATATAGATAAGGTAGCGGTGCAGGCCATCTCTGTAGCTGATACGCCACTCTTATCATACCTCATACAAAAAAAAAGGAGGAACATTTTGAATTTGCCACCGCAAAATAATAAAAAATAAAATTGTAAAACAAAAGTTTGGCAAAAAAAGAACAGATTATTCCATCACTAGAGACAGAAAATGAAGTGGTGACTGGACTGTATGGATTCTCACAGCATTCTCCTGGAGAAACTGGCTGCTCATGGCTTGGACAGGCGTACTCTTCACTGGATGGATGGACAAGCCTGAAAAATTGTGGTGAATGGAGTTAAATCC